ATATACTCGGAGTGAGGTAGAGCATCAACAATAATACCTCTTACTCTGTGATGTTTTCTGTACATTTTTTTGAGATGGTGTGAGAAATTTTCTATCAGCAACCATTCCTACACCATTCACTTCAATCTTAATGTCATCCTCAAGGAAGTCCCATAAATCATCATCAAAGTCAATGATATAAGTGAACATTTTTCTCTTCCCCTATTCAAAGTGAGTAGAATCACCACTGAACGCAGGTGGTTTGGCAGAATAGTGACTCTTCTTATGAGCACTTTAATCATGTGGTATATTGGTGCCAGTAACATTACTATCACTAGTATCACCCATCTTTGTATATTTTTCTCTTCAGGATCTTTTTCTGTACCACTGTTAAGTGTTAAGTACATATCCTGATCTGATGCCAAGTGAAGGTGAGAAAATACACAAGAACGGGGATTGAATTGTGTATCTGATAACTTATGCTTTTCCAAAATAACATCTTCTGAATCTGACCAAGTTCAGATTCTAAGATGGAGTATGCAGCAACAAAATATTTAAGCAGAAGCAATAAGTAAATCACACACAAAGTTATATTAGTACCACTATAATGAGAGTAATCCAGTTCCCTTGCCACACAAGAGTTTTTTACTGTAATCGGAACCTGATTACAGTTTTCTTAGACATTCCAGTCCAAGACTTCCTACTCAATCTCACCAATAAGAGACTTCTTGCCCAAACCAATTATCTGGGACTTATTGGCTCAATCAACTTGAAAGAGACTTCCTTGCCTAAACCAAGTTCAGGACTTCCTTGCTCAATCAAACTAGAAAGAGACTTCCTTGCTTAAACACTCAGCCTAAGACTTCTTTGCTCAAACTCTCAGTTTGAAACTTTTACAAATTCTAAATAAATTGTTTAGGATTACAACAAGATGTACCTGATATACAACCAGAGGTATAAATAATACAAAACACGCAAAGACCTTGATACTTGAGATTTCTAAGATATACAAGTGTAAGAATCTTCTCAAGTCTATGTTTAATACAACAACTATAAAATGAATCTTGGAGTATGAGACAGTTATGGCAACATTCTGATTTATGTTGTTGTTCTTGATGTATAATTTATGGTTTCTTCTTTGAATCTTTATCTCCTTATATTGAGGGAACAAAAGATACATTAGAAGCTTGCTTGCACAAGTGTCTTTGCTGGAGAAATGGTTTCCAACAGAGAGACGTTAGAGTTGATACGATGAGGATCTTCATCTTCTAAATAATTTCTTTATCCATTGTGTCTTTCTCAAGTAAGACATCCATAGACATGAAGTTGTAGACTGAAGAAATCATATCATTATGCATTGAGCCTTGTGCTAAAACCTCTAGTTGACTTTATCCGTAATTCTAGTTGTTGATAAGATGTAGTTGCTTTTGCATAGAGTACAGACATAAGAGCTTCATATTATGTTTTCAGCAGAGCATTTTAAGTTCCGTTTGAATCATCAGAGAGAAAGTCAATATAACAACTGGTGTTCTGTTTGAACATCAGAAGCTGGAATATGATGTTGAGGTCTTCATATGAAATTTAGATTCCGATCCACTAGAATCCAGATTTACTTGCTTCTTCTTTACAAGCTATTAACTGGATCAGAACCTAGTTAATTATAAGTTTAATGATCCTACGTACTTAATCAAACATTAGTATACCCTATTTTTTTAAAGTATTTTTATTATCATCAAAACTCAAGGAGTATGAGCTCAAAGAGTGTGAACAGATGTTATTCCAACATACTTTAGTGCCATCACACCCCGTGAGAGATTTTACTATGTTTAAATTTTTATTACAGTTTACCACTAAGACTCTCTTTACAAAATTCTAACTCAAGTAAGAAAGCACCCCATTTTCTATACTTTTACTAACATGAGAAAGAACCATACTTTACCATACATACTTGTTATCACAACCTGATAAACAAGTTTACAAAACACAGATACACACATGAAATAATTTTGATTACAGATGTGTATGGACAACTTTCCAACACTTGTAAAGTTTGTTCTTTCATTTCTTGAAACAATATGATAAAATTATATATAATTTAAGTGCTCAAAGAAGAAGATGAAACTTTTTATCTGATATAAAAATTATGCAGTAGAAAAAGTTTCTATGAAATATTTTGAACACAGTAAAATATGTCAGAAAAGAGGTGAGTTTGAATTTGAAAAATCCCTCTATTTATAATGAACCATATACCTATTAAATTTTCAGAAACAATGGTCGTAAAATGTTTATGATCAATTACAATGTTTATGAAAATGTTCTATGATCATTAGATATGAAGTTGTGTGCATTATTTTCACTTTGGTACACAGGTTAATCGATTGACCTTCTCAGAATAATTGATTATCCTTGTTTCAGGATTCAAAAATTTGCAAGTTTTGGAATGGGTAATTGATTGACAGTCCTAGGGTAGTCTATTATCCTTCTTATAATTCAAATTTTGCTTAAAATAGAGGCCAATATAATTGATTGAAAAGGAGAGGGTAATCAATTATCATATTATGTACTTAAAATTTTTTCTAAATTAGAAAGATCAATTTTTGCTATTTTGAAAACAAAATAAAAAATGAGTTTGAATTTTTTTTAAGCATCTAAGATCTATATATCATATGAAAAACATATTGTGCCTTAATTTATCTTGATTATTTTTCAAATTCCATAGTTTGATCATTTTATTTCCTTAAGCCATAATATTGAACCATTTTTGCTAAGAAACTCTAAACCTGACTTGAAACTCCATTCCTTGTTGAATCTTTCTTTTCTTCCATATATTTATCTTCATCAAAACATCTTTATAAAAGACTTGACTTCATAAACTCATTAAATAACTCCAAACCATGTGTGAATTTACATTAATGACATCGGTAAGAAAATATCATGTTTATTATGTTGGTCAATAATTGACATTTGAGGAGAATATTTCATTTTTCTTTTATGAGACAATGTAGCTATTTTAGAACTATGTATGAATTTACTAATTTTTTTTAAATCATTTACATTTATTTTTTAAACAACTATATTTATTATTTTTCTTTTTTAACAAACTGATACTGATATTCTATATTTATAAGATGACATTTCATTAATATTTTATTTTATATTATTATGATCAACTTTCTCAAATATTTAAAGAACAAAGAGGTTAGGATTGTCTATATTTAAATTATCCAAGATATACATGAAAGAATATCGGCTAGTTTGTGAACACAAGATGGAGAAATGAACGATTTTTTCATTACAATAGGATTGCACCAAGGTTCAATCCTAAACCCTTACATTTTTACTTTAATTTTGAATGTACGCATGAAACATATCCAAAAACTAGGAGATATATGTTTTTTGCAGATGGTATATTTTTTCTAGGATAGTCAAATGAGGATTTAAATGAGGTTTGAGACTTGGAGACGAGTCTTAAAAACACATATTTTTCGTCCAAATATAAGTAAGATATAGTATATGAAATGTAAGTTTAACAAAATGATAAGTGTTTCTTACCTAGAGTTGAAAGTTAAGGATCATATCATCCAAAAAGTTACACAATTTAAATATATTTGGTACGTAATACAAAATAATGGAGAAATATAAGAGGATGTAAACCATCGAATTCAAGTTGAGTGACTGAAATGAAGGAGGGCCTCAGAGATTTTATATGACACAAAAATATCGTTCAAGATGAAGGGCAAGTTTTGTCGGATAGGGATAAAACTTGCAATATTGTACGAGAGAAAATGTTTGGGGATTAAGAATCAACACGGAAATAAAGTGTAGCAGAGATGGGAATGTCACGTTAAATGTGTGATAACACTTGAAGAGATAAGATTAAAATGATAATATTAAATAGAGTGTTAGAGTATCACTTATAGTAGAAAAGATGGCGAAAAATAAACTTACGTGGTTTTGATATGTAAATAGTAGAACTATAGATTTTGTTGCAATGAGAATAGATCAGATGAATAAAAGTTAAAGATTAGAGTTCTAGAGAGTCTTGTAGTTGCCTTTAATTAGTAGGATACGCTTTACTTGTTATTCTATTTTAAATAAATAATTTTTAAAATTTTAATGGGTTAAATATGTTTTTTTGTCTTCTTAAATATATCATATTTAACTTTTAGTCTCTATAAAAATTTTCTTTAAAGAATTGTTCTTTTAAAAATTTCAATTTTAACTTTTGATTTCTCCCGTAATTTAGTGATGTTTTTTACAATTTAGTGATAGAATTAATGATGATTTTTTATTTAATGACTCAATAAGCGATAATTTTAACAATAATTTTGACAAGAGGGACCAAAACTTAAATTAAAATTTTTCGAAGAATCATTCTTTAAAATTTTTTTTAAAAAGAATTTAAAGTAAATATGAAATGTTTAGGTGGAAAAAAAACATATTGGTGGGATAACACTAATAATAAGAATATATTAAGCTTAGAGAGAACAACACGTGAATATATTTAAATCTTGAAGAAGCAAAATAGCAACGCAACAAAAACCAAATACCTAAAACAAGTAAAATACTAGTATACAAAACAAGGACACACTCACAAGCAATAAAAGTGCACTAAAAAGCGAATAAATCCTAAACATGGAAGTGGTTAAGAGCATATCACACTAAGTTAATCCATAATTAAAACCTCCACATGTTAATCCTTTTCTTTGAACTAACACGAAACGTGATGTTTTCAAATAAGTGCGAACATCATTAAAATCAAGATTTTGAAAACTTGCCATATCCCTCGGTTTCCAAACAGATCATATGCAAACCAGCTAAACAGAACCTAATTTTGCACAAAAAAATCGTTTAGAAAATGCACCCCTGTCCTCCCCCCAAATATATATAAAAATAAAAAATACATTCTTGCCATTATCAACAACTTTAAATAAAAATTTTGTTTTGAAAGCATTAAGGGTTGTAACCCCTCTAACACCATACACTTTTGAAAGAAAGTGTGTTTTTTTACTATTTATTTTTTAAATTATTATAGATGTCTTGCATGTCCCTCTTTCATAGGTTGCAATTGCTACAAGAGGAGTTTTTCTATGCATGGTTAAACCAAATGTTTCAGACATGTCAAAAGTTTCAAATCCTGCACCACCACGATGCAATTCCCAACTAAACCGATGCACAAGGTTGGCTAACACAATTTCACCGGCAGCCATAGCATAAACTATCCCTGGACAACCTCTTCTCCCTGCTCCAAATGGAATCAATTGGAAATCATTCCCTTTCACATCTATCTCATTATTCAAGAATCTCTCCGGCTTGAAATCTTCAGGTTGATCCCAATATGTGGGATCTCTTGCAATGGCCCAAGCATTTATAATTACTCTTGTCCCAGCTTTGATGTTGTAGTCCTTAACTTTGATATCTTGTCGGTTTTCTCGAGGGACTAGTAATGGGATCGGGGGATGTAATCGTAGTGTTTCTTTAATCACTGCTTTTAAGTATTTCATGTTATCCAAATCATCTTCTGTTATGTTTGTTCTATCATAAGCTACACTCCTTACTTCTTCTTGCAACTTCTTCATGATATTTGGATGTTTTAAGAGTTCTGTCATTGTCCACTCTAGTAAGGTGGATATTGTGTCTGTACCAGCAGAAAACATGTCCTGAACATACATAAATTGATGGTCAATACAAGCAGCATAATCAAATTATAATTTAACACAACATAATCATGACCGTCTTTGAGGGTGTACAATGCTAAACACAGACTCCAAAATTTCTTACAGTTAAATAGAGTATCATAAAATATTGTCGGTTAAAATCATGATTAATATAGAGTTTTAGTTTTGTACTTACCAATAACAGAGCTTTTATGACAGTTCTGTCAATTGGAAAGCCAAGTGATTCTGTCCTTTGTATCCAAAGCAAAACATCAACAAAGTCAGCATGTTCTTCAGCACTTGAATAATCACTACCTTCTTTCTGTTTACTTATATGATCTTCAACAACATCCTCCAAAAGATCATCAAACCGTTTAGCAACTCTTTTTGCTCTTGCATAAAACCCAGAAACATGGGTGAACCAATCAAGCCAAGGAACATAGTCACCAACAACAATAGTACCAAGTAACTCTGTAAAATCCATCAACAACATTTTAAACCCCTTCCCATTTTCACCACTGTATTTTCTTCCCAGAGCAACCCTACAAACTATATCATTTATAGTTGTGGAGACTAATTGACTTATATTAACTGGCACTGAAGCAGAAGAGCACTGCTTCATTTTCTCCACCATAAAACCAACTTCTTGTTCTCTCACAGCACGAAGAGATTGAACCCTTTTAGCACTGAGAAGATGTAAAACAGATATACTCCTTATTTGTCTCCAATACTCTCCATATGGGGCTGTTGAAACATCTTTGCAATCATATAAAAGAATGTCATAAAGTTTAGTTTGGGGTCGATTTGCAAAGACGCGATCATGAGTTTTCATAATCTCACTAGCTGCTTCAGGTGATGAGATAACAAGAACCGGTACACTACCAAGATGGATTTGCATGAAAGGGCCATATTGTTTAGCTAGAGATTGAAGTGTGCGGTGAGGGAATAGGCCAAGTTGATGGAGATTTCCTATTATAGGGAATTTTGGTGGAGAAGGAGGTGAGTTTTTTGGTTTTGTAGAATTGGAATACCATTTGATTAGCATAAAAAGGATGAGAAATATGGAACAAGTTATGAGTAGCATTGTGTTTGTTCTCTTATCTTTTTCTTCCTGTTGTAGTACTATATAGTCATTAAAATTTGGACTCTATGATACAGTCATGTGCTATGGATCAATATGTTTTAGTGGAGCGGTGCAACAATGTCATTTTATACTTCGTCACGTATTAATCAATTGATATTCCATAAATTAAAAAAAAAGTTTTTTTTTAATTCAACCTATATTAAAAAATAAAAAAAATAAAATGTGCAATAAAGGAGAGTAGCGTGACAAGTTCTGAAGACTCCAAGACTTAGGTTCTAAGGCTAATAAGAAAGATTCTTCTACAACAAGCTTCAATATTCAACATTTAAATATCTGAAGCCTCTGAAGATAAGAAGAAAGTTCAAATTGTTAACATGTGATGTTGTGTAAAAGGTACATAAAGTGTTTTTGACTTCTAGCCTCTAGGGTGGCGTAAGGACGATCCTTTATACTGAATTGACAACCACTCTCATTATGACTGTTGGGAACAAATAGTTGGATTTACAACTATCTTTCTTTACTTAACGGATCTTTGTTTACAAGCCTAATAGAAAAATATTATTCAGAGGAAAATGTGGAAAGCTATCATTAAATAGTGACAGGATATAGAAATATTATTTTATATTGTCTAAACTCTTACCCCTTATTCTATCTGTTGGGAACTAACCGTTGATGCAGGAAAAGTTTGTTCTATCTTCACAATGTCTTTGTCAAGGACTATAAAATAAGATCAAAGCTTCAAAGATAAATTGATGGTTAGTGGTTTAACCGTTGTCATTAGCCAATAAGCTTCATCCTGTGGAAGGAAAGCAGTGAACTCTGAAGATGTTAAAGCTGTAATGCTATACATACTGAAGACCACGTAAGAAATGAGAAAAGAAAGAAAGAAGATTTCAACAAGATGTCATTCAACTATCACCATATACATCTTAGATGAAACAGAAGAAGCAAGTAGTTATTGTTCGTAGCTTGCTCAACAAGAAGATGAAGAAGAACACTATAAAATGATACTCAACTTCTGATCATATATATCTTTGTAGAACATTGTAATGAACACTAAAGTTATTTCTCGAATAGTGTTTATGTTCATATCTCTTCATGTAAATTATTTTAACACTTGAGTTGTTACTCGAGGAAGTGTAAAATAATATGTGCTCAAAATACTTGTGTATCTACTTAGAAGAAGAATTCATGTAAACACAAGAAAACCCATCAACTGTTGTTGATTAGTTCCTTAAGAGACTGAGTGAATGTCTAATCTCAAGAAGATAATGAATCTTGGTCAATATGGGAAATTCTGATAGGAGATTCTTAGGAATCAGATTCTGTTGGGTCAATGGTAGTCATATCTCAAGGAAGACCGAGTGTGATATGGTGGGAGAACTAACTTGAGTGTTTTGCGTTTTATTGCAATTGTTGCGTATAGCAAGAGTCGCCACCGATTTTTCTTTTATCCAATAAAGGAAAGATTGAAAAGAACAGGAAAGACCTTTGAGATATTTTCTTGAGTTCGGGGGGTAGGTTATGAAAAGGAAAGGTGTTAGCACCATTTTCATTCGTAAATATCTGCAGGCTCTTAGTTGCTCGCTAGATCATTTTGAAAGTGCTTTATTTGAAAATATGTTTGTGATGGGTGCAAGTTTGAAAATATTTTGAAAACGCATTTGTTTCGACAAACTTTGTAATAATTATCGTCTCTATAAGAATGTATATAAAGTGTTGGTTTTAAAAAATAGTTCAAAGACATGTTTATTTTTGAAGATGTTTTGAAAGTGTAAGTGTGGAAATGGTTTTCGTCTGATGAGCAAGCAACTACGAGTGTCCTACCTACTCAAAAGTTATTAGTTCTTTTCCTCCTCCTTTAGATGTTGCTATCTTAACATTTATTTGGTAAGAAGCCCTATCGTTGGATGTGAAGGGATAGGCGTGAGTCATCGTATAGTCATGAATGGCAATATTGTGAGATATCTTAGCATTTCTCTTAAGGGACTAAGATCATTTGTAAGGCAATATTTGTAGTGTCATCGAGGGACTATGTTCTTGTATTTTGATTATTTTTTATAAGATGACTCATATGCACATCATGACTATTTTTCTCAAGGCAACAAGTGGATTTAACCCTAGAGGTGTAAGTGCGCAAGTGTTTATTTTTCATGCATTGTCTTGTCTTTGGTTAGGATTTTCTAAGGTTGATTTTTTTATCTTTCCATACACACCCTAATTACTAACATTTATGAAAGCGATAAAATTTCCAAAAATAAATGTTCTACGCTATTACATCAATTGGGGGATGGGGGATACAAATGTACAAATGAGGATTGCAAGAAATTAAACCTAATTATCTATTACAAACCATATTGAATAGCTATGAAGAAAATATATGAAATATGTAAAAAAAAAAACATCACAAAAGAGAGAAGAAAAAAAAATCTTTCGACATCATGTGTCGAAGCATGCTTATATGCATCGACACATATCCTTCTTCCGACCTTGTAATTCCAAATCAACTCAGTATGAGTACAAAGCATAATGTTATGTGTCGAATCAAACACCCTTTTTATCTTCTGTTTGGGTCTGTAAAGTAGTATGTGTCGAAGCCTAAGACTTTGTGTCGAATCATGCTGTAATTTTTTCACTCCAACATTGTTTTATGGTCTGTACAGGTTAGTTCTTAACATATAATTGACAAGAAAGGAAGAAAAACAAAAGGTTAGTGTTGTACCCCAAAATTTGCCTTCCCTTTTTCACAAGAAATCCAAAATTAGGGTTTCCACTGATTTTTGCTGAAATTGGCCCAAGAATTGATCAAACAAACTTTTCTTTGTCAATCAATCCAGAATTAGGGTTTCCACTGACTTTTATTAAGATTGGCTCAGGAATTGATCAAGCAGACGTTTCTTTGACAATAATCCAGGATTAGGGTTTACGCACGCATTTCTCAGAAGAAATTGAATCCACGGTATTTCAATTGACTGTTACATTGTTTTTACGCTTGTTCAAGATTGTTGTTTGTTTCTTAAAACCTAAACATCTGGGATAGGAGATGAGGCTTTTGATTGAAAGTTTGAAGCATTGGTTTGATCAGTGAAGTGAAAGGTGTATGGATGTTTGTTTGTTTAACTGTACAAAGCATATGATTAATTGGAATGTCGGGCGTATTGTGGTTAATGCAAGGTTGCGAGACTGCAAAGTTTGTTGATTATTTATTTTATCTGAGTTAAAATTATTGGGATGCATTTCCAGTTATTTTAATTCAAGAGATTTAAATAATTAAATAGACAGTGCAGAAGAAATAAGGAAATATCTGGCAAAGACTTTTTATTTATTTTAAATGTTGTTACAAATGTTATTCGAATACTGTAAATTTATTTACAGTGTTTACAATAATATTTATCACAATAAATGAAAAGAAAATAAATCTAAAGTCTAAGTTCTCTTGAAGTCTTCTATCTTCTACTATTTCTTCCATTATCCAACTGGTATTTACCTACAAAGACAAAAAAAGAAATCAGTGCAGTTAAATAGAAAAGCAGTTTTAAGCAGATAAATAAAAGATCATCATTAAAGCTTGTTGGTCGGAATCAGATTGTTTTTGGTTTCATCATGTTTTACTCGTCCTCTTTGCAAATCACAAGAAGATTTCTCTTCTTGGTTCAAAAAGAGGAAAGTAAAATAATTTGCAAAGCATACAATCAATTAAATGCAAAGATACAAGGCACAAGGCTGCACACAAAGAAGGCACGAGGCTGCACGATGTCAAACTGAACAACAAATTGAATTAGTCAACCAAAAGCAAACCAAGTTGCATAGAAGCAAACTAAGTACACAAAGCTGTCCAAACCAAGTACACAAAACTGTCAAACAAGTACACAAGCTGTCAAAAAACTGTCAATGCAAAAAATATGGAAAATGTAGAGATAAACCAAGATACAAGCAAGCTTGTCAAAACTTTTCATCATTTTCCGGCCAACAATATTTTCAGAAAAAGTACATTAAGCAATTAAAAATGCTTTTTATGGAGAGAGAAAGAGAGAATCAGAAAAAGGTTTGCATTTTTGGCAGGCTTAAAAGATATAAGAGAAGAGAACAGTCTAACAATTCAAGGGTGAGAGGATAGGACCAAAAAATGCAAGTTCAAAAACAGAACAAGCACAAGCCTGTTTAAAGAGAGCCACAAACTACAACTGCAAGCAAAACCAGAAGCAAAACTGCCTCAGAACCATACAAACTTGCACAATAAAAACACAACTTGTAAGTTATCAAACTGCTTGTAAACACAAGCATAACCTGTAGCCTGCTGTAAAAAAAAACCAAAACTGCATAACCTGCATAACCTATTCAAAATTGCACTAAAGCTCAACCACCTGCAAAGCTGCTTGTAAATACAAGCATCAAGCAAAACTGTATAAGCCTGCATAACAAAAAGTTCCAACCTGTTTAAACTGCAAGTTATCAAAACTTGCCTCAAAAACAAAAGCAAGCAAGCTCAACAAAAGATCCAAGCCTTCCTAAAACTGCAAAAAACCTGCCTTCCCAAACACTTAGTACAAAACCTGCACACCAAAAATCACACAAGCCAATTCAACTGCATCTCAAGCTTGCCTCCCAAAACTCTTAAAACCTATTTCGAACTGCATAGCCTACCAAAAGCAAAATTGCAACTCAAGGCCAGAAATTGCCCAAGCTACTAACACAGTTCAATCTCACCATCATCAAATACCAAACATCAAAACAACAACAGTCAATCTCAGAACACAATCATCATTGACTAAACAAGCAGAGGAAGAGAGAAAGATTAAAGCAACAAGTTCATCATTGGCAAAATCATCAGCTTAAATCAGAAACAAACATTCGAGCATCCTCAGAAGATTCATCATAATAAGCAAAGAAGAAGAGAGAAGATTAAGAAGCAAAATAATATAGTGTTTTCAGAGCAATGTTCATCATCAAACAGTGTTCAAGCACTCAGAAGTAAAAGATACAAAGTACCAGAAAACAAC